TTTAAAACCAATATGAATTCCTTTTAAATAAAAAAACATGATATTTATGAAGTTCATTTATCACGTCAAGATGTTTTCAATCAACATGATGTGACGTTTATGTTAATTGAAAACATCTTGACGTGATGTTTATTTAAAACATCGTGACGTGAATTTAAAACAATCGTGATTTTATCTTGAAACATTTAACGCATGCGCAACCTCAACATTCTATATAATTTAAAAAAATAGGTTTTATTTATATATTTATTTGTTTAATATTATTTCAATTTTGTTTTTATTAACATTACATTAATTTAATGAAATTTAATGAAATTTTAAATGAGTGGACCCGTTATAATTGTGTACACATGACTTACCGTTTTTGCATCCATTTAAAACAAATATAATATCCATTTATTAAGATTAAAATAACTTCCATTAAGTTAAAGCAAATTAATATAATAATGGTAAAAATAAATTTAGATAATACTAAAAAAATAAATATATAAATAAAACCTTTTTTTATTTGGTATAAAACGTTGATATTTTTAATAAAAATATATTTAGTAAAATAATAATAATCTTTTATGCAAAAAGTTCAGCAAACTTAGACATAATGTTAAAACAAACTTAGACATATTGTTAAAGCAAACTTAGACATAATGTTAAAGCAAACTTAGACATAATGTTAAAGCAAACTTAGACATAATGTTAAAGCAAACAACACAAAAAAAAAATTGAAAATTAATGAACACATTTTTAATTAGAAACATTTCAGAGTTAAATCCTTAAATTTGTCTATTCATTATAAAAGTTCATAGAATGGTGGTGAATATTTCCAATAGTTGTTAGGGTATGAGTAAAAAATTTCCTTTGGACAAATAAAATTAAACATAATACGTAAGCAGTAAGCAAAATCTGTATACTATTATTAGTGAAGCATATTTTTTATGATATTCTAAAATATTGAACCTAAATAAAGTAAATTATATGCTTTATAGTAAAGAGCTTGTTTTCGCTTGATCTGCCGCAAGATTACCAACAGACTTTGCCATATTTGTTTTGGTTTTATTTAAAATTTTAAATACATATGCTACTTTTCACATTATTCCTTAATCAAATCAAATTTATTCTTCTGAAACAAATTAAACTTAACTAAAACATTACACTGTCAGAAGTTGTTGTATAACATTTACCAATTATTTGTGACAAAAACAAAAAATTTAGATTTCCTTCCATTAAATCACAGGAAATCGCCTCCACTTGTGAAGCAATCCTTTTCATTTGTTAGACTTTCCATCATCTAATATTTTATCAGAAAAACTTGTATGCGTCATTATTTGTATAGTTCTGTTAAAAAACAAATAAATAACTAATTATTTATTTGTTTTGAGACCAAAATAGATCCTTAATAGCCCTCAATAAAAACACTAGTTTATCAGGAAATACTAGATTTTCTTTTATTTATTTACTGCAACTTTCTCTCAAGGCGTCCTTTTTTTAGCTCAACAAAGTCTTAATTTCTTAAAGCTATTATTTTTGCATTTTAAAATTAATTGGTTTACTTTAACTTTATAATACAAGCAGATTTAATGAAAGATTCAGTTAAAACAAAATTAGAACAGCTTGAAATAAAAGAATATTGGCTTATTCCACCCCAAGTGATTCAGAGGTTCATACTTGATATCAGATTTTAAATAAAATTTAGTCACAGTATGTAGTCAAAAATGTTTCATAAACATTGCAAAAACTTCAACTTGTAAACTATCAAAGACAACACCCTCCTTCTTAATCTCATACCTCCAACCCCCATAAAGTAACGTCAACAATGAAAAACTTCCCCCCCCTCCCCCAAATAAATAAAAAAAAACATAAAAATATTGGAAAATGTGATTTATAGTATAGCGTTTAGAAAAAAAGAAGTTTTTAGAAACTAAAAAAAATAAGATTAGAGTAAAAAAGAAAAAAAAAATGTTTAGAAAAAAAAAAAAAATTAATTTAACTTTAACTTATAAAAGTTTTTTGAATTTATTTATCCATACAATACTAACGCTCGTTCAGAACGAAAAGTAAATAAAAGTAAAACTGATTGCTAGATGCAACACAGTTAGTTTTGCCTTAATAATTTAATAATTCTATAATACAGGGTGGCCCATAGGTCACTTTGCATTTTAAAAATTAAATAACTTTTTTTCTAAAAATATATTTCTATTTCTCTTTTTAGAATTAATAAATATAATTTTTGGAAATTTTTGGAGTGGATAAGTTTACGACTAAACAACGAGTGAAGATAATTGAATTTTACTTCGAAAATGGACGGTCAAGTGTTTCAACGCAAAGATTGTATGTGCGCCATTTTAATGTTCGACATCTCCTTAGTAGGCCAGCAATAATGAATTTAGTGACGCGTTTTCAAGAGCATGGCTCTGTAAATGAGAGGACGAGAAGTAAACGAGGTCGTTCAGCACGTACACGTGAAAATACTGAAGCTGCAAGCCATAGCATTAAAGAGAATCCAACCACATCCACTCAAAGGCGTTCTCAAGAACTTTGCATTTCACGG